CTACACAATGCACTTTGCCCTACTAGTCGAGAATTAAACCCAGAACCTCTTGGCTCTAGGGCAGGAGAACTAACCCCTATGCCACTCTGTCCCCCACACACAACGCTACTGAAACTTGGATTCAGTTTTGGGATTACACCTACGCCTTTGAGAGCCTTTTTTCTCTCCAGAACATGTGATAATCTGATCCATAGCCCGGAACATTCTCAGGGACACGGGGAGAATGGGCTCTTCAAAACACAACACATTTCCAACTATTCTATTTCCTCTTGTTCCTTTTGACCCAGTTTTGGAACGTGAATGGACCAGTTATCCTCGGCACATACCAGAACGACTGTGTGCTAAGCTGCCCATTATGGAAGCAGCAAATACAATATGTGTGTGTGTGTCACTAGAAAAATACTGCATGGATGTCTAAGGATAAAATTATGCAAAACTGACTCTTGTGAGCTTTAAGTCGTGTTATAATGCTGTAACTTCCTCAAAAACATGGCTGGAGTTGTGTTTTGTTTCGTTCACACGTGTTTGAGTAACTATTTATTTTTAGTTTGTCGACGTCCCTAAAGCTCAAAATGCTCTGTTCCAATTTGTGATGTCATGTAGTGGTAGTTTTTAAGTTAACGGCTTAATTTTACCTTTTGTTCAGTAGATGTGGGCAATTCCAGGACTGAAATCTTCCAAATGATTGTAGTGAAGGTGTGTGGAGTTTAAAAACACTTCTTGTATGACCACATGACTTCGCAAAGTGGAAGAGAGCATCTTAAGCTTTAAACTGGGTGAACACTGTGGGATTTTTGGCCCTTTTTGAGCCGATTTTTTTGAGCTGACTGTTTTTGGGATTAGGCTGATTTTTGTCTTAATCGTGTGTCGTGCTTCGTGGTGTACATGGGGTAGAGTCCTGCACGGGTCCATTTTTGGAGACCCGCACCTGCCCGTTAACCAGTGATTATATCAAACTTAAACCTGTTACCTACTTGGACCCATTAACTTTTCCACCCGTTACCCGTTTGTGCCTATGATAAATCACACACAGATTAAAAGCAATTTAACTGAAGCATCCATCAGAATACGGATTGAAAAGTTACGATTTAAAGAATTACAATAATGAAATGAAATGACACGGTTAAGATTTCTTCAGTACGAATACAAATTCACAGACGCGACTGTCACGACTTCACAGGCTTTATTTACTGAGCAGAAGAAACATTGATCAAGATGCCGGACTTTTGCGCCATTCATGCCACGGACTGAACCAGGACTAACCTAGGACTGATTCCAGGACTAAACCAGGACTGAACTGGAACTGATTCTAGGACTGAACCAGGAGGACTAAACCAGGACTAAATCAGGACTAAAACAGGACTAAACCACGTCTGAAGCAGGACTCACTGTTGGGACGGGTTCAGAGTTGTGCCCGTGTAGACTGTCAGGTGACTGCAGGAGAAAGGACCAGCGCAGAGCTCAGCACCTCATGGAGGTAAGCGCAGCCGTCACCCGATTGCGCTTTGCAGACACCCTGCTCCACGGGCTCAGGGTTTTCTCTCTCTTAAATCCAAGATTAGTCCTGGTGTAGTCCTAGTTTAGTCCTGATTTAGTCCTGACCCGCCTGTGTGTTACTACTATCTGCCCGCATACCCACCCGGAAAATTCCAGAATGTTAAAACCCGCCTGTTTCAGCAATTGTCTGTACCCGTCGGATACCCTTGGGTACCCGACACCGTGCAGGACTCTGACGTGTGGTAACGAGAAGCGATTAATACCTCACGACCAACTCCCAATCGGCAATCATAGTTCGCAAGAATATCAGACCTGTTGTTAAATCCAGTCGCCTCTCGTGAGGGTTTCGCTCTGTTGAAGTCGTTCAAGCGTGAGAACACGAATCGTGAGCTGTGAACTATTAAACCCTGCGATGTGGTCGTACACTTTGAGCTGCGGCTGAGTGAAACAATCGAAAATATCTCACAGTGTACGTTTGGCAATAGGGATGTAGACAGACTAATAATAAAGTCTTACTCAAACATGTGTGAATGAAACAAAACACAAGTCCAGGTCTGTTTTTGAGGAGGCAACATCATTAAAACAGATCAGAAAATACTGTAGTTTTGGCCCTTTAAACTGACTTGAATTTAGAATATGAATCTTTATTTGAAAAGTTCTGACTAAGTTCGATTTAATTGCTGATATGACAGAGTGTAGCCTGTTTAACTTATTTCATTTCAAGTGTAGAATGTAATAAATTAAAACATAATAATACTCATTTGCTTACCCTAGTGGCAATACATTTAAAATTTAATTAGCAAAAAACACACAGCTCACTTTTGAAAAATTGTCAAAACAAAACATTTTTTTTTCTCTTTTTGTTACCGTTTTTTGATTAATGCTATGAATAATGTGTGTGAATAAAGGAAGGATGGAATAATAGTTGGACTAAAACACATTTGGCTTTGCACTGTTGAACGTCTCAGTTTTCTTCAGCAAATTGACTCTCCAACTTAAAACACAAAAACATCTCGAAACTGGTGAAACGACCATTTAGACCCATCAAATAAGTACACCTAGACCGTCATGCCTTCCCAAATTAAGATTAAAGCTGCACTATGGAACTTTTCTGGTGAAGGGTCTGTCATCTGTTTGTCTCCATGGAGATTTTATTGCTTTGTCTGGGATGTTGCAGTGTTCTTTCTATTACAAGAGCTTTTATTGCAAAAAAAAAAAAGTCAAAATCATGTGAGCTGGGTCCTGATTACAACACCAGCTTGACTAAACGGAGATAAGTTTAAAGCCACACTGTGTAACATTCCTGGAAAAGGAACTACACCTCCACAGAGACAAGCAGGTGGCAGGCAGCTTAAATTAAAGGTGCACTGTGTAACTTTTCTGGTGGACGGTCCGCCACTTGCGTCTTTCTACGGAGATACAGTCTGGAATGTTCCAAAGTATGACTTCAGTTGTGTTCACACTTCACAGGGTCAAGTTACATGTCAGATCTGTGGAGAGGCGAGCCCACTCACAGTAAGAATGCAAGTGCCTCCGCTCAATTTCAGTTCTCTCCGGCGACTACATCAGGAATTGGAACACATTAGATCAGGGGTGTCAAACATGCGGCCTGGGGGCCAGATCCGGCCCTCCAAGACCTTTAATCTGGCCCTCAGCTGATTTTCAACTGAAATATTTTAATTATATTTTCTATTAAAATATTGGTAATGTTTCTGTGTCACTTATCATAGCAGTGTCTCCAGTGTCTCTGTACGTGGCCCCTCCCACCAGAGCAGCACAAATGAAGACTTGCCTCTTTCCAAACGCTCTTAAAGGACGATCGTTTTGACTGTTGACCGTGACACCCTCATCAGAAAAATGTCAAAAATGAGAACGCCAAGTGCAGGATTTTCCAAGAAAAATTGGACTTGTTCCCATTTGCAAACAAGTTCATGTGTTGAAATTGCATTTTTCTTAAAGTTTCAGGTTGTTCATAATATTATAATATTTGTAAAAGCAAGAGTTCATCATTTAAAAAATATTTCTGTAATAGATTTGTGTTTCTCTGCACAAATATTTGAACTTATTGCTATTTTTGGGCTACTGTATATATGCCATGAGTTTTCTGATCCAGCCCCTTTAGGATCAAAGTAGGTTTGACCAAAATGAGTTTGACACCCCTGCACTAGGTTCACAAAAACCCCAGAAGTGCGAGTTCGGGCACCAGCCAATCAGCGAAGAGCCAGACATTCTGCGTTGGCAACGATTCCCGAGATTGAGGATTTAAAGCCGGAACAAAGAGAATGTTCTGTGAATTTTATCAAGGGGAAAGACGTTATTGCCCTTCCACTTTTAATGCCACACTGGGACATTCCAGACAAAGCAACAGCGGTGGGTGAAGTACTCAATTTTATTACTTAAGTACAGTAAAAGTACACATACAGGGGCAAAAAGTTACTCAAGTAAAAGTATCATATAAAAAAAAAATCAAATTAAAGAAAAATATTAAGCAATTAAAGATGTACTTAAAGAGTAAAAAGTAAAAGTATTTAGCAGATTTTAAGAACAATTGAAGGATGAAACGTGATAAAGAATTTTACAACATGATTTGTTAATTTTTCTAGCTGTTTTTGTGTATTTGGTTTGTTCAAAGTTGGGACGGAAACTCAAATTAAATACTCTAAATTAATTAAGTCTCAGCCATTTCAAAGTACTTTTTACTTTTCACTCCAGATCTAAAATGTAGTGGAGTAGAAAGTACAGATACGTGTTGTCGAATGTCGTGAAGTAAAAGTGAAAATAAAAAGTTTCCACTGTAAAACTGACTTCAGTAAAGTACAGATACCTACAATTTGTACTTAAGATTCGCACTTTTACTTCGTCCACCACTACAAAACGATAACATCTCCGTGGCGGACAGCACCAGAAAAGTCGCACGGTGCACTTTTAAAAGTAACACGGGGCACCTAATAATTATAACTCGTTTGCATATTCCCTTCGTGCATTGTGGGTAAAAAATAAAACACAAAAATATACAACGCTGCAAGGAAAGTTGGGTTGAAACAAAGTAAAGAACATCTTGAATCATTAGGGAAGCCGTGTGCAGCTCCCCAAGGCTCCTGGTGCAGCTTTTGTTTAGATCAACACCATTACACAACAGCGAGAAAAACAGCTACGAATACGCTACAAGAACATCAAAACTGTGCTATAGAGAAACAAGAGAGAGTCCGCTTCGATATATAGATGTTATGGTTCATTTCAGTCACAGCCAACCACACATTAGAACACACTGATAAGCTTGCGATGTAACTGCACCCCCACCGCTCCCTCTGTCTCTGCTTCATCAACAACCCAATGGGAAATCCAGGTGGAGGCGTGGGGGGGGGGGGGGGGGGGGGGGGAGGGGGGAGTGGGGAGGGAGCAGACGGCAACTCAGAAGGGGCGAAAAAATAAAACAGTGCATTTCTGTCCCCCCACGAACCTGTAAAAAGTCCACGATAAACCGCGACGCTCCGCTTCGCCGGCGGAGCTGCGCGCGTGTTTTTCCAAGTGTTGTTTTTTTCCCCCCCCCGAAGCGACGTCAGCGGATGCGGTTTCGATGTGATGTTCGACGCGGTACGACCGGTGGTCCACGAGAGAGGGCGCCATGACGTGTACACAAGTTCGATGAAGGCAGTTTTTTTTCCGAATAGGCGACTGGGTTTGTACAGTTCAATATAAAATACGAAACGATACTCCGCACGTTGTCACAGATCGCGAAAGCAGAAGAAGACGACGATGTAGCGTAAGCGGCGACAGTTTTCTTGGTTTGCTTCGATTTTTTGACTTTATTTTTGCCTGACAACGAATATATCCATCCGAATGATACAGCACGGTTACATCACAAAACATTCTCGTTAGCTTTAGTCCCTCTCCTGATAAGACGAGGCTACACGTGTGGACGCTGAGTTTGTTGGTTATTGAGCTTGTAGCCAATGTTGACGAATCAAATCAGGCGCCTCGTTTCTTGCACTTTTCAAGTCTTGTACCCTATATCTACATTCCGCCATTATCCAAATCCGTTCACACGTAAATCGCAGTCCGTGATATCACCGAACCATCTCTTTGCGACTCCATATCGTCATCAAGGTAGACATCCAGCTCCTCTTCGTCGTTACGCCCCCTGTGAGCGATGGGATAGGCCGGCTGCATCGAGGTCCCGCCGCCCCGCATGCCCCCGAACCTGTCGAACCGCTCCTCTTCGTCCATGCTGTCGTCCATCGCGAACTTCCTCCTCTCCGCTTCGTCCATGTCGTTGGTGAGGAGGATATCGGCGGGGTTCGGGGCCACGTGGTGATGGAGGTGGTGGTGGTTTTCGGTGAGCGTCCCCGTGGCGTCGCACCCCTCTCTGTACGTGTACATCGGCCCGTTATTGTTCCCCGTTCCGTTTTTATTGCTGCTCCCGTTTCCCGACTGGCTGAAGAGGAGGCGCGCTTTGTTGCCGTAGTCGCCGCCGTTGCTGCCGCCGCTCCCGGTCGCGATGGAGTCCCCGCTGCTCGGATACCCCCGTCTCTGCTGGCGGCGGCTACGGGTCAGGAGCACGGTGACCAGGCCGATGACCAGAAAGAGCGCGAGGAGGGAGCCGATGACCGCCCCCGCCACCACGCCGGCGCTGGATTGGTCCTCGAGGGATTCTGCACAGAGGGGGGAGGGGTGTGGAGCAAAGGGGAGGGCAGGTGGGAGAGAAGAACAGTTTTGCTCATTTTGGGGGCAGTAATTCAAAACAGGACTACTACTACTATGTTTATAACGGGTGAAAGGGACATTTAAAGTTGTATTTTTGTGTAATTTTGTCAAACGTTTATATTGTCTACAGGGTTTTCTAACTTTGGAGACAATATACAGTTAAATACAGGGCAACTACTATTACTTCTATGTGTGTAATGTGTAAATTGGACATTATAAGTTGTATTTTTGTGTGTTGTATGTGTATATGTCGAGCTTTTGTGTGGTGGAACCATTATAAAGCTAAAAATAACAGGTTGACAAGTTTATAATTATGGAGGCAATATAGTTTAATGTAAGAAAACTACTATTACTACTACTGCGTTTTTAAAAAAGGGGCATTTTAAGTTGCGTTTTCATGTGATTTGTGTATGTGTGAACTGTTTGTGTTGTGTAACCATTATAAAGCTAAACATGCCAACAGGTTTTGCGAATTTTGGAGGCAATATTGTTCAATAAAGGACAAGAACTACTACTATAAGAACTACTATTGTGGATAAAAGCGATATAAGACTTAGTCTAGACCTAGACTAGACCTAGACTAGACTAGACTTAGACCTGTAGTTTTGTGTGGTATGTGTGACCATTGTAAAGCAAAATTTTTAACTTTCAGTAGTAGGTTTTGTGGATTTTGGAGGCAATATAGTTCAATAAAGGACAAGAACTACTACTATAAGTACTACTATTGTGATTAAAAGCGGCATAAGACTTAAACTAGACTTAGACCTGTATTTTGTGTGGTGTGTCTGCATGTGTGACCATTGCAAAGCCAAAATGTTAACTTTTAATAATAGGTTTTGCCAATTTTGGAGGCAATATAGAAGTTGTTGTATATTATAATATATGACAACTACTATTGCTACTGTGATTATAGGCCTAGTGAGTATAAGGGGCATTCTAAGCTTTATTTTAGTCTATTTTTTGTGCGTATGTATTAGGGGTGTAACGGTACATGTATTTGTGCTGACCGGTTCAGTGCAGTTCTGTGCACGAGTGAGTTTTTGTGTGTTTACATTTCGCCACTACATGTGCAGCTACACAGAAGGCTCAGGCTCTTTAATATTCACAAGCAAACTCATTGGTTTTTCTGGCCCAAAAATATGAACATTTAGTAAAACTTCATGCTGGAACTGTTAGTGCTGCGTTTTAGTTTTTGAAAAGTTTTGTTTTACTGTTCAGAAGGAATGAATTTTTTATAATATTTCACACATTTGTTGCTTATTTGAGAATATTTTATTTAACTTATAAGTATTACCAAGCAGCACTTTGCATTTATTTTATTTTCTTGTCAAATTTTTGGTTTAATAAACACAAATAAACACCAAGCAAATTAATTTTCCATTTTGTTCCCATACTGTACCGAAAATGAACCGAACCATGATTTTTTGTGTGCCATTACACCCCGAGTATGTATCAACCTTTTGCATTGTCTAACCATCATAAAGTTAAAAATCCTAACTAAACTAAATTGCTAATAAAATAACAAAAAAAAAATTAAAAAAAAAATCATAAAAATTTAACACACTTTTTCTTTATGTAGGCCTAAGTCTATTAATTTTAAAAAGGATAGTTACACAAAAATTAATTTACTTAACTTAAACTTAAATTAAAAGGGCACTATGTACATTTTTCTGGTGAGTGGTTCAGAACTTTCTTTTCTCCATGACGAAGTACATTTTTTGTCTAGAATATTCCACAGTATGGCATTACATTAATCTATCTCCATGAGGCAATACCACCTTTTGACAATAAAAACAGCTGTAAATGAACACTTGCACAAAAGATAAGATTAATGCCATACTGCGGAACATGCCAGGCAAAGCGTAAACCTATCCATGAACCAAAAAAAAAGTTACATAGTGCACTTTGAGTTACTTTATCTCAAAACTATTTCATAATTTGTCCGCGTCCTCTTCCGTGCAGCTGTATTTAATCTGGCTCGGTGAAGTCTTTTGTCCTTGAGTAAGTACATTTATTCCTTTCATTTTAAACAAAGCGCTGGAGATAATCCACTAAAGGCGAACAATAGCATTAGGGGCTGTTTTAAAAGGAAGTTTTTTGTGTTTTGGTGTGCGTCTTTCTTATATGTTCACCATATTCAAAATCCTATTGAGTTAACTCCTTTTATAATGTGTGTAATCCGTTTATGAGGTGTAGTTTTTGCTGGGATCAGGCCAAATTTGACGTTCTCTCCCCCCCAAAAAATGCTGCTTTTCAGATTAATCTAATATTTTTTCATACAAATTTTCTAGTTTTTTGACCCCTCCCCCGTGTCCAGCTGACGCAACGGACCGCGAAGCCACGGTCGGGTTTCAAGTTGGTGTGAGCCACAAGTTTGCCACCTCCCCACTCGTGTTTTCGTCGGAGGATTGAAACAAAAATGAAGTGCAAAAGCAGGTTTAGTATCACAAACGCACACAGACACACAGCACAGAGATCAGAGCAGAGGTTAGAGGAGAAAGAAAAACAAGCAGCCCATAACAGAGCACAGTTCACACACCTCCATCTCCAACTTCTGCGCCCACGGCCTCTTATTGATTCTCTGATTGGCTGTAAGTCGTTCCAAAAGCATTGTTCTTTTCGTACTCAAAGCCGGTTTCGCAATTTTCTTTCACTCCATTCGGTGTCAGTGAGTTACGTCTGGAGCCGCAGTTGCCATGGTGCAGATGGACAAAGAAAAGAAGGCTATTCTGTGCCTATGGTTCAAATTTACGAATGATTAACAAAGATTACAATTAGTTAATGAGAGAACGGCTCTTATGAACGGATCCTTAATGTGAACGCCTGGAATCTGAACTTTTTTCTATCTAATTTCTATACATTTCGATACTAATTAAATCTAAGGCTACGTTCAGACTGCAGCCTGAAGTGACCCAAATCTGATTTTTTGGCCCCTATGTGACCTGTATCTGATCTTTTAATGACAGTCTGAACGACACAGATCCGATTTTTTCAAATGTGACCCAGGACACTTCGATATGTGCTCCTGAAACCGATACATATCCGATCTTTTGACATGGGACTTCAGTCTGAACGGCCAAAGCGCATTCATCCGACCTACACGTCATCAACAAGCCACAAACGTCACTATTCTGCGCTGAAGTTGGCGAAAATTGTTAATGAACTCCGTGTCACTGAAGCGAAGCACATCACCACTCACCACTCCTGGCTACATCTCCATATCCACAAGTTCCTTTTAACGGACGTTGCTGCCGCTGCCCCACAAAACACCACGCCAAAAACCTCGTCCTTCTCCTTCTCAATCTCCTCCTTAAAGCAAGGAAGTTGTTCATGTTCTGGCTCCGGTACAAGAGGAACTTTAAAATCTCCAGGTGCTCAATGCTCGCGTCCATGTTTGGACAACTTCCGTAAACACAGAGCACGCTCACTGCAGTTGATGTCATCGTGTCTCCAGTGCACATGCGGGACACTTTTGGGCCGTTTTATGCTTCACACTGGAGTCACATACAAGTCACATTTAATTGGAAATGTGAACGACCTCGCAAAAACATCGTATTTCACAAAAAAATCGGAATTGAGCGTTAAGCCCTGCAGTCTGAAAATAGCCAAAGTCAACAGTTGAGTGAGATGTAAACAGACTAATAAAGGATGACTCAAACATGTGTGAATGACAGAAAAAAACACAAGTCCAGGTCTGTTCTTGAGGATGTAACCACATTATAACACGGCATGAAGCTTACAAGAGTCACTTTTTGTGTAATACAGCAATACAGGACCTTTAAAGGTGCATCATGAATCTATTAAAATAACTGGACAGGGTTTTGCTGCTTGTAGTTGCCTTCAGTTGACATAGCGGCACTCACTGGTACTACAGTGAAAAAATTCCCTGGGCCGAGAAAGGATATTTCTACAACTTTCAAAAAGGTAGAATTAGTTGCCGATTTTTACCTATTTTCAGATCATAACTTTTTTCTCAGCTCAAAATCCTTCAGTTGTCTTAAAAAACTCTTTTTAATCATTCACTCTGGCTCCTCTCGCTCTGATTGGTCAAAGTGATCACGTGATACACAAGCCCCACTACTGCGCTTGCTCAATCAGCCACAGCCAAAAAATAAATAAATAAAATCATTGTCTATTTTTTTTATTATTATTTTGTTTTTTGAGACAAATAATGAAGACAAGTTTTATTTTTATTTATTTATTTTTACTTATTTTTGGGTTTATTTTGAAAAAACAATGAACGAACGAATGATCCACGGATTCAGAAGCTTCACGTCATCATTTGTTGTGAAATCGACTCCTATTAGGCACGGTGGACACTGAGTGCGTATACATGCACATCAATAACCCGGTTATGATCGGGTTTTTTGAGTATCCCGGTTTCTTGATGGTGCATGTATACGCAGTAACCCGGTTTCAGTAACCCGGTTATGGCAGTATCCCGGTTATTAGAAACCGGGTTACTGTAGCTGGTTTATTCCGATAGTAACCGGGTTACTTGTGGCATGTAAACGCAGTACCCCGGTTACTGCAACATAAAGTTGAGTGCGCATGCGTCCAAAAAGACACTTTCCAGCCTCTTCAACCACAACAGTAGTGACATAAATAAATTGACCAACATAAATAAAGTGACCAAACGAGTGAAATGACGTAAAATAAAGAGCTGCGCTAAACCTGCACACGTACAATCTGCACTCGTACGACCTGCACTCGTGTGACGCTGAAAAGCTAAAACATGAACTATCTCCTATACTCTATACGCACGGAACACACTTACCATCATTAGCGCCTCTTCTGTCACAGAAATAACACACATAATCCACAGAGTCGTGTCATTTAGTCCAAAAGAAACTGATCGCATCAGCGGCGCAAGGAGCGAGTTGTTTTTATCGCCGCTAACAGTTTATGCTAATTAGCCAAACGGTCTTAAGTTTCGTTTCTGTAAAAC